TTGAATATATTTTCTAACCTACTCTACATTTTGATTTTTCTTGACTAGTTCAATGTCATTCAGCTTTTTTAAATCTCAAAGATCCTATAATTATCATGACCGCCACTTTGAATTTCACGCTCCACTTCTTAGTATATGAACAAACTATATTTTCTTTATAACACACTAACTCGTTAACCTTTTGCACACCAGATATAATCACACAATTTTTTGAAGAAAAAAAAATAGAAAATTTCAAATCAAATCTTTTTTTTTTGACAGAAATACATTTCTATATCAACTTTAATTGCTCCTAAAACTCTATTTTGATAAGACTGAGAAGTGGATCCCTTTCGAAATAAAAAAAAAAGATAAAAAGATATTTTTTCAATTATACATCAAAGATTTAGAAAATTCTACAAGAATATTTTTAAGAAAAAAAATTGTGACATTAATCACTGATTTTCTCTTTAAAAAAATTAAAAATAAAAAAATTCTTTAATAAAGCCTTTTTTTTTAATTAAGAGTATAATTTTAATTTTCTTTCTGAAATATTGATTAACGTGATATAATTAATATTTCATGCTTATTATCACACTACAGGTGTATTTTTCCTTTTTATAGATATTAGAGACCGAATTAGGTCGAATGACAATTTATGTAAACGAATTTGTGACAATATTAATTTTAAAATTTTGTATTATACCAGAATTTCTAATTCGTTTAAATCTTCATTTGTCCGAATTTTTATTTCTCCGAAATTGCAAACAGCTGAAAAAACAATCAACAGATTATAGGCTCTAAAAATCGAGCTTAATTAATACCAATAAAATTGAGATTGGTTTATTCTAAAAATCGATTGTTTTTCAGTCATTTTCAATTTCGGACAAATGAACATTCGGCCAATTAGAAATCCCGGCGCATTAAAAAATTCCTAAATTCCAAACAATTCCGTTAAATGAAAATTCTGCTAAATTAAAATTCGACCTAATTAATTCTTTTTTTTAAATAAAAAGTTCATTAAAAAGATTCTGTAAAATTAAAAATAAAAATTTCGTACCTAAAAATGCATTTTAATAAAAAATTCCTATAAAATTCCAATTTAAAAAAAAAAAAAAAAAAATTCTATAGTAATTTTTATGGAACAAGCCCTCGTCAATCTAATTTGAAAAATGTATTTTCAAATTAAATGTCTAAAAAAAAAAATAGCAGTGAAATTTATTTGTTGCATTTGTCAAAAAAACTTGCACAATAAATTCCAGTCAGCAGAAATATTGGATAAAATGGCTTTAAAGCAATTTATAACACCTGTTTATCCTTGTGTCGACTATATGTCGTCGACATTGTATTTCCGTTGGCTATTTTCCGTTTGTCGCGATTGGACCGCGCATCGAGAATAGCCAATATATCCATATACTTCAGGCAAGACCATTGTACTCGTCTCCGTATATATATATATACGTTATATTTCGAATCATTGTGTTACACGTACGTCATGCTCAGCGACGCATGAATAAAGCACGTGTCGACCCATTATTAACTCTCCTCTCCGTATAAAGGACGCATGGTATATATATATATATATATATATACCAACACGCTGTTTTTCATGTCATCAATATGATGAGAGAGGCAGTAGTAGGTAATAGGTCAACCAGGTGGACGTTGAAATAAATTATTTTAAAATTTGCTACATGCCCAAATCAAGTTACATATTTTTGAGTAACGCATAAATAATAATTTTTCAAACATATATATGTATTCTCTTTTTGGCGTTACAATATATATATAAATTCTCCGTCAACACTTTCGGTTTAATTAATTTTCTCGCTTTCTGACTCATACGAATAATTTTCAAACGTGAATTTATATTTATATGTTCCGCGAGCATTCACAAGTCTAATGACGATGTGACTCATAAAAAAATAAAACTTCATTTATAATAAAAATAAATTTATTTTATTAATAATAATCGGCTACTTTATTATTATTCCAAATAAATATATTTATTTTTCTACTAAATAATTATTATTTAAATCAAAATAAATATTTGTTTATATTAAATAATAATTGGCCGCATGATTATCCCATATAAAAATAATTAGTTACAATTTTCCTTTTTTTTTTAATTAACATTTGTACGAATTTCTTTTTTCATAAATTTTTAATTAGCAAAATTTTTAGGCAACGAATTTTTTATTTTTATTCAGAAATTTGCAAATGTCCGAACAAACATTTGATTGGTGTATTTTTAAACATCACGCGCTGAAATCTTTCTGCGTCGATTGCTTGTTCGGCTATTTGAAATTTCGGACAAATAAAAATTCTGTTAAGTAAAAATTTATTTAAAAAGAAATTCCTTTAAATATATTAATTCGAAAAATAAAAATTCGCCTGAAAAATAATAAAATTCTTTAAAATTTTAACTAATGATTTTTTATAGATTCAAATACAGTTTATTTTGATTCAAATAAAAAATTATTTGGTTCAAATAAAAATTCCTCATTTTTTCGGTGAAAATTTTCTGAATGCAAAATAAATTATATACTTAAAAGATATAAATAAAGTGATTTTTCACGCATGAATGTATCCATAGTGAAAAATTTGAATTTAACAAAAAAAAAGAAAAAAAGAAGCCGCGCGGTAACAAAGAATGAGATTTGAAAAAATTAGAATTTATTCTCTCCAGTCATGTATTATGAAATGGAAAATCGAAAGTGAAAGGAAAAAAATGAAAGAAACAGAGAGAGAGAGAGAGGGATATCAAGAAAAAAAAATAGGTGCAACTGTCACAAGTATATATTATTTTGAGACGGATATTTTCTAGCGGAACGATACTTGTTAGGAAATTTCCGATCTATGACAATAATGATTCCCTTAACGAATTATCTAATTTTATTTTCTCCATTCCTTATACAATTGAATTATTGATTTCAATGCAAAATTATATATATTTTCGATTTCACATAAAATATTATCTTTTAAATAAAAAAAAAAAATTTTTTATAAATGTTTTGGATTAAAAAACCATATAACAAATAATAAACAAATGCAAATACAAAATTGAAATTTATCAATAATCTATATTATTAAAATTTCGTTTCATGAAACTAAATTTCAAAAGCTATATTCAACTTTCTCCTATACTTATAAATATTATAAATTTGTATTATTATTATTGTAAATTATTTTAAAATTATTAAATTATTACATTTTATAGAAATGATAATTAGATTCAATTTTCTTTAATGATATATCAATATGAATATTTTATAAATTTTTTGATATATGAAATTCAATTTAAAATAATCAATATTGTCGCGGAATGGAAAAAAAAAGTGAAAGATGAAAATTAAAAATTATAAGCCTTGCTCTATTTCTCGTGTGTTTTTCTTATACACAATATATCAGAATATTTGCGGAATCCGGCCTGATTTTGATCTCGATGTCATTTATCATTTGCTTTCATCACGGTGCAAATTACCAACAATGAAAAACGGTAGTGACGAGTTTGTGTCACGTCTGAATTAGTCTTGTTATAGTTGATTTCGTTTCAAGTTCTAAATACTTCATCTTCATCTTTAGAAGAAAAAAAAAAAAAAAAAAAAAAAAGAGAATAAAATATTTAAAAAAAAATTCAATTACTAAAAAAAAAACAATTTAAAAAAATATTCAGGGTGTCTACTAAAAATCTGAATTAATATTTCAGGACTTTTTCAGAACTTTCCAGGACAAATTTCTTATTTTTCCAGGACATTAAATTGGATGACCTTAAGGAATAAAAAAATTTTTAGTTTTGACTATTATTTTCATAAATTATTAAAAAAGTATCACTTAAGTAAATTTTCATTTTACTTATTTAATGAATTTTTTTTAACTTGATTGACAAAATTATAAATTTTTGAAAATTTAAAAGCAAAATATAAAAAATTCAAAGACAAAAATTAAAATTTCAGGACTTTCAAAGACATTTTCAGGACTTCCAGGACTTCCAGGACTAGTAGACACCCTGATATTTTTTAATTAAATTTTTAACTGTTAGAAAAAACCTGGTTATTTAAAAAAAAAAATGCAATCGACAAAATTTTATCTAGAAAAAAAATAGTAAATTTTTTTTTTCCCATTCCTTATCATTATTTGATATATAAAAATATGAGGTTTCGTGTATAGAATGAGCCAATTTCAAAGAGAGAGAATTTTATCCGGCAATAAAATATGAGCAAACAACGTCATTTTCTTGTGTAATCAAATTTAGCAATAATAAGCGAATGGGGTATATATAAGAAGTATATGTATTCTTTGATTGAGCACTCTTTGCGCGATGGAACCGGAAACTAAAAGAACGCGCGCGCGCACGAAGAGGACCGGGATCATCGTGAATGGTTTCAGTGACCGTTACATTCGTTTTTATTCCTACTTTGCACTTCGCTGCGTGAATCCTTCTCACGTAATGAGTTCTATTTTATTTGTATCCATTTTGGTATCAACTGCATCCGCAACAAGCGGTAACAAATAATAATTTTCCCCCATAACAAAAAAGAGCAAAAAAAAAAAATTATCCAACAAGAGATCAAACCTTATAATTTTTTTTTTAATCAAGCAATTTTCAAAATTGAACTAATTTTCAAAATTGAGCTATAAATTTCCAATTTAAAAAAATTTCAATTTATCAAAAAATAATTTTTTAAAAAATTAAATTGTATTTGAACCAATAATTTCTGTATTTGAAACAAATACCATCTCAAATAATAATTATTTGAAATATTTATTTGATAATAGTCAAATAACCGATTATTTGTATCAAATGAATTTTTTTTCAGTGTAACTTTTTGAACAGTTTTTACGAAAAAAGAGTCATGGGTGTTTTGTTAAAATAAATAAAATAATAATTAATTATTTTTTAATTTTAATTTATAAAAACAAGTCAAAAAAAAATTCGTAAAATTCGAAGCCTGAAAATAGGCAAATTAAAAAAAAAAAAAAAAAAAAAATGTAAAAAACGTCCTGTAAAATAATCTCACCTGAGATAATTGTGAGAGTAAAAATCCACTATATCAATATAAGTAATCCTCGGAAATTATATCCTTGTCTCATGGACACACAACACACAATTTAATATATTATCGGTTTTTTTTTTTATTTTTTGCATATAATCACCTTCACTGTCATCAGTGCACTAAACAGCAGAGAAACACTTTATTTATATGTATACAAAAACTCACACACAAAACACCGGCTACTGTTTTAAACTTTGCTTATCAACGATTCGCGTCATAAACGATTGCGAGTTAAAAGGCCGCGGTTCCTAAAGCAGAGAAATTATTCAAGTACTGACTGATGGTATTCTGAATGACTTGCCCCGCACACATACACACTTATATATACATATTAACTTGAATGATAAAAATATCACTCCGTGGAAAAAGGTTAATAGTGCCAAGTAAATATTTCTCTCTTCAAAAACCGCCACTGATTATTTATATTTATTTGCTCAATTATTGAATTTACAATTCAAAAAATTTTATCTAACATTTTTTTTTGTCTCATTTATATATATGATTAGAGGAATAAAATTTTTATTAACAATCGAATTCACACTCATTTGAAATTATAATTATCCATATTATTATTATTATTATTATTATTATTTACAAATTTTTCTATAATTATTATTATTACTAATATTGAATTAAAATAATTAAATTTACTCTAATAATGAAATTTTAACAGTAAAATTATTTATCCAAAAAAGAATAAAAAAAATTTCTCCAATTATCGATAGATTTTTCTATAATTTTTTTTTTATATAGAAAATTTCCTAGACTATGCAATTTTTAACTATTTGGCAATTGTCCAATTACAATATATTGTAATTGTGTTTACACTATATTTTCGTAATATTTTAAAAACTAATTCTAACAGACGAAATTTATAATATATATATATATATATATTGAAACATATGAATATATATATACAAAAGAGAAAGAGAGTAAAACAAAAAAACATTGCAAAATCTAATATTATTAAAATTCCTTTTAATATTAAACATTAAGACATTTCGTAAAATAATTTTAGATTTTCTAAATTCTATTTTTAAAGCACATCAAATTTTTTGGAAAATCTATGCCAGGAGTCGTTGAAAATAGTCTTCAGGACACACGAGGCATTTAAAAAAAAAATGTCATCCATTAATAATAATGAATGTAAATTATTTTTTTTTTTCAAAAAATTTCATTCGTATTTTCCAAAAAAAAAAAAAAGATAATAAATTGAACTTGTCATTAAATACGTGAAATGATAAAATTTATCGCATTTCTAATTTTTACGAAAATAAAAAAATAAAATTTACTTTTTTTCTAATATTTGTGTAAATAATAAGAAAATATTAATAATTAATAATAATTAATAATAATGAAAATAATATTGAAGAGAAAAATTAACGCAGAAGTTGATGAAAAGCATTTCATTTTCCTCATCTCTAAAAAAAAAAAAAAATGAGAAATGGAACATTCTGAGAAAATAGAGATTGTCTATCTGCAAACTTGAAATTCAGTTTCAGGTCTTGAAAATAAATAAAAGAAAACATTATCGAAGTTTATTCGATTTTCACTTTTTAATTTAAATGAAAGTTGTATCACAAAACATGAATGTATACTTGTAAAAGTCCAGTAAAAGAATTTATTAAACTCATATATATATATATATATACATATACTTATAAAACTAATTAAACAAGATTTGCAGTTTAAACAAAATGAGAAAAAAAAACACCATAACTCTCCACTGACTATTTCATTTACTATACATTAAAATTATAATTAATTTCAAAAATAAAAAAATTAATTAAAAGAAAATATAAAAAAAATTCAGTTTAAATAATAATTATTTAATGTAATTAGAATTTAGTTTCTTTGATATTGAAAACTATATATACTGTTATCAATAGTGTGCGCAGAATTTGAAGATAAACATTGGTTATTACGATTCTGCTTGTTAAGATGAGTAAGGCTATCTGAAAACCTATTTTGAGCCTCGAAGAAATAAACAATTGCTAAAAAAAAAAGAAAGAAAAAATCCACTGACAATGAGCAGAAGGCTGCATATGCTTTGATAACATAATTGCTAAATAAAGGATTGTTGGTCACCAATAATCACTAATTTCATACAAATCAGAGTCTCATGAAATAAAAATGCAATCGGAATTTTTCTGCAATACACACGAGAATATTCTAGATAATAAAATAATAAATAAAAATAACGAAAAAAAAAATTAATAATTTTTTTTATTTTAAATACTAAAAAGTAACTCAAACTTATAAAAAAACATAATAAATTAATAAATACGATCTATTTAGAATTAATTAAGTTTAGTTAGAATTAATTTAATTAATTTAGAATTAATTTAATAATAATCAAATTACTTCTCTAAATAGATCATTCTCTATTTACTCTTCCTGCATAAAATTAGAAAAAAGAAAAAATATATATATATGGAAAAATAATTTGCTTTTCATCATCAGTTGCTCCCATTAACTAATTTACAAAATAAGAGAGTAATAAAGCCTTTAGTCTGAGTGTAGGACTTGCAATGTCTATAGTTAACGAAACGACAGAAATTCCAATTGAATGAGCTTAATAACATTCAGAGAGAGTGTGTGTGTGTGTGAGAGAGAGAGACATCACTATACTAATTCACTGAATCTTTAGCCTTTCTATCACTAACTTTTACTACTATAGGGACGATTAGAAGCACGCACGAAAACACCGAGAGTATAGTAATAATCATATATTATAATTTACGATTTAATCGTGCAAGATGAATCAAAGACATTTTGTTTTTTCTTTTTGCTTTCATTTTTATATATCTCTTAGATGATTAATAAGTCAGAATTTTTTTTTTTTTTTTTTTTTCAAATCTGATTTCGATCGATAAATTATATTGACCGTTAGCAATTTCAAACCGAGAGACGTTTCGGCCCGGTAGGCGGTAGGCACGATACTACTGGATAATGTAGTGGTCGAGTTAGTCGTCAGTCGTCACCCTCCTCGCTCGTCTCCCTTCCAAACACGGAGGACGTAGTACGCATTACCGGTGCTATTTCTCATGTCATCCGGTTCGATCTCGTCAATTTTCGTCACATTATACGTCCGCAGGAAGTCTGATATGTTCCCCAGGATCAATGCCAATTTTCGATTTTCCTTTTTTTTTTAAACCCCAAAATTCGTAAAATCCGATTTCGGATGATTTTTTTTTAATTCCGAAATTCGTAATCCGATTTACGATAATTTTTTATTGATCCGAAATTCGTATTCCGAATTTTGATGATTTTTTTTTAATTCGTAATGCGATTTCCGATGATTTTTTTAAATTCTGAAATTCGTAATCCGATTTTCGATGATATTTAATTGATCCGAAATTCGTAATCCGATGATATTTAATTGATCCGAAATTCGTATTCCGAATTTTGATGATGATTTTTTTTAATTCGTAATGTGATTTCCAATGATTTTTTTTAATTCCGAAATTCGTAATCCGATTTCCGATGATTTTTTTAATTCCGCACTTCGTATTCCGAATTCTGATGATTTTTTTTTAATTCCGAAAGTCGTAATCAATTGAATTACGAACGATTTAAAGAGAAAAAATTCCCAAGCGCCGGGAATTGAACGCACGACCCTAGCGCCCTAAAGTCGATACCCTAACCACCTAACCACGGACGAACGCTAAAAAAATTTGCATAATAGTATAGAAGACAATCAATTTCACTATTGTTTTCACTATTTTTTTTTTTTTTTTTTTTTTTTACAATATCCTCAGTTGTTTTCACTATTTTTAACTAATTCATCGATTTTTATTAATTAATCAGATAAAAACAAATTTTGAATAAAAAAAATATTATAATACAAAATTCATGAAATTGTTTTCACACTTTTTTTCTTGTTGAAAATATTTAATTTTGCTGGCATCGTGAAAATTTGTCATAAAAGTTAAATCCGTACGTTTTACGAAAAGGGAGGAGGGTTTCGGTTTATTTTTGAACACGCGCAGGGAGTGTATAGAAATCTTTTTCTTTTTTTTCGGGAAATAAAAATAAAAACAAAGCCGAGTTAACAAGCAAGATTCAAATTTAGTAACGGGAAATTAGTGTCAGTGTCTCATTTTTTTTTTTTTTTTTTTAATTTAAAAATGAAGCAGCAGCCTTGAGAATGATTTTATGATCTCAATTATATTACATTATTTTTTTTATATTTTCTCTCACCATATGTTGTTTCATGTTAGAAATAATATTTTCTCGCTTACCTGCAACAAAAAAAAAGTTTAAAAATTATGCATTTGAAAAAAAAAGTGGTGCGTGTTTATGTTTTTAACCAATTGAATTTGCAAGTGTAATAAATTAATATAATATAAATAAGCAATATATAACGAGCAATCTCATGATCGCAGATAACTTAAAAGCAGTTCATGCGTTAAATCACCTTGCATTGCCAGGGGCTTAATATTCGGTTGCAGAGGCAAAAAGGGGATGCTGACCGTGTCCCCTACGATAGATTGATCTAACTTTCCAACAAGATCATTTACTCTTTAATCTTCGAAAATCTAAGCAATACATTTCAATCTAACAATGCAACCGTGAACAATTTATGTTTTTCCATTAAAATCAAGTAGGCAGAAAATGCCATTCTCTTTTTACAATCCGTAGTTTTATTTCCGATTTTTATTTAGCATCGAAATGTTTCGAAATGTTTTTTAGAAAATAAATCATTAAAATCTTTCTTCTATAAATTTTGAACACTTAAAAAAGGAAGAAAAAGATTCTTTAGGCTACTTAATGATATGAATACCCATACAAATTTATTCCGTCTGAAATCGGGTGTTAATTATCAGGAAGATTCAAAAGAAAGGACATGATACACAAGGACCACTCGTGATTTTTAAACGAGGTCGATAAAAGTTAACCCCTCGACCTATTTTTCATCTTATAAATATATATACTTAAAGCAACAACATTTTGGGGCTTAAAAACACACCACGTGTGTTTTTTTCACTCACGTGACTTTAAATCCAAGACGAAGATGGTTCACTGGGTCATAAGGCGCGGCTCAGAAACTTTTTTTTAATGTGTCTCCGAATGTCATTGTACTCATTAAATATACAGTAAACAATGCGTTCGTGCACTCGAAAAACCTACGCGCACAAAATTTTTTCCCTCTTTTATTTTTACTCACATCTTACTCTTATAATTAATAATGATAAAATTTCAAAATTAAAATTAATTTTACTAATTATTTTTTAAGAGTATACGTAATTTTTGGAAAAAAATATATATTCTCTCATCTATATTCTGACCTTAATTTTAATTTAAGCAACACATAACCGATTTTTTTTACCTAATGAGATTTTAATGAACGATTTCCTGTTCTGAAAGAAAATATTTTTGTAAAACTGAATAATTTAATGAAACATTCATTATTAATACGATAAGCAAAGAATAACAAATAAGAAAAATTATTTATATATAAAAATAGGGGAAAAAAATCATGTTCATAATAATGAATTTCTTCTATTAAACTTTTTTTCAAATTATTTTTTAATGAAAAAAAAACACAAATTTTTATAAATAGCAAATGAAATTCAAATAAACAAACTAAAAATACAAAAGGATTTTAAATTTGTTAAAAAATTATTCTTAAAATCGTAGACAAAAAAAACCTAGTTTATATTGAATAATTCGTGGAATAAATCTATATTACTTGAGATTTATCGAAGCGTGTAATTAGTGACAAACCATAAAAGAGGTTTTTTAATGCAACGATTATCAAAAAGTCCATTCATTTTATAGCATAAATAAATATATATAAAATTTGCCCTATTTTCTTTATAGCCGAGTTCATTTTGTTCATCATACCGGAGCGCAAAATCTCAATCATAAATTCAAAAGTTGTCTGCAAGTTCGCGAGTTAATTTCTATAATTCGAACAGCAATGACTATTAATTATTTTCTGCATGTAAAAGAGATTCTCATTTTATATATATACAAGAAAAACCTTTTCTAACAGCGAAAGCTAATTGTAATCCAGTCATAATTTAACCAGGCAATAATAGTCATTTAATTTTATATATTGATGAAAAAAGAAAATAAAGTGCGCATGCATTTATTGAGAAAGTGTAAATAAAAAAAAAAAATTAATAAAAAATACATAAATATGTAAAAGACAAATTTAATGACTCATTAATCAGTTGATAATTACTACCTTATGTCTTAAATTATCATCTTAAAAAATGATGAGTAATTAAATTAACTACTGAAAGTGTCAATTACAATTAAACAAAAAAAAATAATTATTAAATATTATTTTTTCTACTACTTCTAATAGAACAATAATAATAATTTTTTTTTTAATTCACATTTGGGAAAATGGAGAAATGTGAAAATTAGACCCATAATGATGAGAGATGTAATTATTATTATTGTATATGAGAAACTAAATAGATGATACAGTTGCTCATTAAGGATCATTTAAACTCGAGTTTACGATCTTTCCACGACTTCTTGAGAGAAAATCGTGAAAGGTATACATATATATATTTTTGCGAAAGAATTGGTCAGGAACCATAAAACCCATAAAGAGAATTAGAAGACTATAAAGTTCTTTACTATCGTCGATTCGCATATACACGTTCTTGGAAAAAAATAAGTGAGAAAGAATATTACAAAATGGTCAAAACTCAACAAAAGTTCCAATTTAAAAGCATTTTATTTTCCATTCATCGCAATATTACTTGCTTTGGAAAAAAGTTTCGATAATTTTATCAGTAAAATTTTTTTCTCTCAAATCAATAAAAATATATCTAAATAATTTTTTAAAAAATTTTATTTCTTTTAAAATATTTTAAGAAAAATTATATTTGAAAATTTCAATTAAAAAATATTCTATTTTTCAAAAATTTACGATTTCTTTGGAAATATTAAAGCGAAAAATTCTGCCAATTTTGTATCGAGATAAAATAGATGTAAGTTGACTTTTTAGCGGAATTTAGGAAAACTTGGATAATTTCTTTTAAGTGAATTCGTCGTTTTAATACGTCAACTGTAATTCCGCTTGGTTCCGCTCAACGAATCGACCTACTTATGTTCGGCACGCGATCCTCCACCTCCATAGCGCCTTTCAAGAACCACCTCCTGACCCTGCCCCTGCCGCATCCCAATTTAGAGCCGTCGCCTAGAGCCACCGGGACGGGACGTCCGCGCCAGACAAAACCCAGGAATATATGTATACCAAGAGAAAATAATAATAATAAAAAAAAAATAATAATAATTCCTACAGGTACGTTAATTTCCCCCCTCCGAATTTATTAAGAATCAGATAAACGATCGAAAAGTTACCCTATTCCTATACCTGACCCACAAACTTTGTAAACAAACGCACCTCGTCCGAGCTTTCAGTGTAATTACAAAAAAAAATATTGATAAATTTTTTTATAATAATACTAGTACAATATAAGGTTGCCCTTTTTGTTTCGGTGAAAAAAAACGAGAGTCATTGTCATTTTTTAAAAAAGTGGGAACCAGCCACTGAATACTAGAAATATTTGAAGTATTAAAAAAAAATATACCTCTAACCTTATTTAACAATCGGTGATATTTCGGACGATTCATCTGATGCACATGTACGATTTTAAAAAATTTCGAACACTCCCGGAATTAAAATTAAATAAACAATACTTTTTCTATAAAAATTGAAGAGATCGCGATTTTAAGGAATTTCGAACACTCCTGAAATATTAAAAAACAAAACCATTTCTAAAGATTTTAAAGAACGCGATTTTAAAAAATTTTGAACACTCCCGGGACAAAAACTTTATTAAAGAAAAAAGTTTCTTATATTTTCGTTTGCGAATTAAAAAAAAATCCAGCACTCTCGAAGTTATTTACATCAAATTGTGAAAATTCAAAGAAAATAACAGAAATTCAGAAAAATTTACACTCGTTTCTTAACAGGTCTTAACAGGTCAATGCACGAATTGCAACTGATTTGATTACGAATTTTGTTTACGACATTCAGCCCAAGGTGTACCTTTTTCCCTCAATGTAAACATACAAGGCAGGTATACCAAAATCGCTTCAAAATACTTTGAAATTACAATTTTATTCAATTGAATTAACTTTTCGAATTTCAATATGCAAATTTTTTTTTTCTAGCTAAAATAATATCAAAAAGAAAAAAAATACTAAATATTCGATATTTTTTACAAAAAAAAAAAAAATTATTTTACAAAACAATTTCTTAATAAAAGAAAATGAATTTCGTGCTTTAGTTTTATCATAACGGTGAGTAAGCCCGTAACCGAGTTCTCTCTCAACATACCGGTAAATCTGCAAAAATTGCGTTCCGGCACGTGCGTATATATAACGCAAAACAATTGTATTTCTTATTTTTTAGTGCGCAGATGGAGACAAGTGTTTAGACATTTCCGGTTATATGATGATGAGAGACAAAAGTCTCTCTCTCAAAAAAAAAAAAAACTCTCACTTAAAAAGTACATATACAAATTATATACAATAATTTTAATCCTATATAATTAAAGTAATTTTTACTCGCGCTCTACTTTGTTCAAATTTTCCACAGTCATGTAAATAATTACATTAATTATATACTTTTTGGTTATGAATTTTTTTAATACTTTTTTTTTTCATAAAATAAAGACATTACACTGAAATGCTCGAAATTAATTTCCTTTAAAAAAAAAAATTAAGAATCCAGTTTCTTTTTTGTTGCAACTTGTCGTGTTCGTGCAAAAAAAAGGTCATGCAATGATCTCTTCAATTAAAGATTGATTTAAGAATGATTCTTATAGGAAGTGTATATAATCTTTGAAATCGACTCCTAAGTACTTATTGCAACCGACAATTAACGGTATTAACTAACCGTCACGCACTATCGATAAACCGTAAATAGATTAAAAGCATTTTCATTATCGTATTATTTCTTCCTGGAAATTTCACTCTTGAAAAATAAATGCAAAAGAAAAATATATAATCATTTTATCAGCATCAATAATTATTTTAATAGTGTTCTAAATTTTATTTTAATTATCTGATAAACATTATATTTGTACATACATACAATTAATGTTTGCCTCATATTTTCTTAAATTTTCTAATTCAAAAATGCTTATATTTATTATGAATATCAATTTTTGAATAATGTTAAAGGTTTCATCTTTTGGAAATAATACAATTCGGATTATATAGATATAATTTCATTAGAGATAAATTTCTTTACGAGAGTTGAAGAAGA